CCGTCTGGGGAGGCGGGTGTTCGCCGTCTGGCAGAAAGAGACCCGAGGAGAAGGTTGCCCCCTCTGGCATTGAGGCGGCCGGGCCGCTGCGGGCCTCTTGGACGCTGATTGGTCGAGCCTTCGCGGGAGGGGGGAGGGTGTTGGCGGGAGATTCGGGCGCGCCGCGGGGGAACTGCAGGCAGCGCGGCTCCGATTGGGCTGGGCCCGGCCCGGGGTGGGGGGGCGGGGGGGGCGCGTCTCCGCGCCGGCGGGAACCCAGAACCCGGAAGGCGCGGTCCTCCGGCCGGGATTGGCTCTGGAGCCGGCAGCGGCCGCCGCGGGTCCTCTGGGCTCGTGGTCTATTGTTTTAAGCCATCGAAACATGGATCAATCATTTAGGCAGCGGTAGATGATCGGGACGGAGTCTTCTCGGCTGCACTGCCTGCCACCGGCCGAACCGCTTGCCTCCGCCGTTGTTGGCTGCCTCCCTGCCCAGGGAGTCCCCGGTGCCTGACGCTCACAGGCTCTCAGTGCTCGTGGCTCTAAGGAATGAGCCCCATCCTCTGCCTGGAGCCGACCCGGCCTGAGGCTCCTTACGGAATCTCTGGCTCGGCACGTGGCCCCACTTGGGGGCGAGGTGCCCGCAGGCTCCCCACCCCGCGTCCCGTCCTGCTTCCCTGAAATCAGAGCTGCAGCCGGCAGCCCCGCATTTTCCAGCCAAATAGGACCCTGGCGGAGGGTGCACGTGCGCTCAGGAGCAGGTTCCCAGAGTTCCCCGCTCGGCCCAAGGTGAGGGATGCTGGGCTCAGTGTGGAGTGAGCAGTAGGGCAGAAGTCAAGGAGGCTGAGCCCAGGGGGAGGCTTGGGAGCCCACTATCCCCCACCTCTAGGAGTGCCAGGCTTTGGCACATGCCCTAAGGAGGGTGCCTTAGTGCACCTCCTTCCCCTCCCTTTTTAACTCAGGAAGGTCATACCCAGACTGGGGCAGGCACATCCTATCCGCTCCCTCCCCAGGCTCTGGGTGTCCCCCTCATAATCCCTCCCCAGGCTCTGGGTGTCCCCCTCATAATCCTCAGCCCAGAACCAAAGGGTCCCCAAGTGCCTGTGAGTCCTATTGTCTGGCACAGAATCAGTAAATGGTAACAGCCATTGAGTAAATGTTTAACAGTTTCTGTTAGCAATTAAGGCAGTGCCAACGTGTGTATGCAAAAGAATGAAAATGAAAAGCAAGCCCCATATTGGGAAAAACATTAGAAGACACTCGGAGCACAGAAGACTGGAATCCATCTGTCGTATTTTTCAATAGAGTTATATGTGCTGCTTCCCCACAAGCATTCTCTGGGTCAAGGAGCAAATGGAGGGAAGTGTCAGCAGCATTTGCTATCTGGCTGTTGGGGTGCTCATTTGCAAGCCCAGAGGCAACACTGCACAGAAAGCCTGGCCACCATGGCCTGTTTCCTGGGTCGGGGTGACAATCAGGAGTGACCTCTCACCAGAGGCGCTGCCTGGCTGCCCTCAGTGCTCAGGGGGCAATTCCTGGGCCACCTCAACCCACAGCAAGGTCAGCAGAGACAACCCTGGCATCCTCACAGGACACAGCCATAGCACGAGAGAGCAGATCAGCAGGGGCCACTCGCTCTTCAGCCACCAGTGTCTCCCCACCTCAGCTCCTGCATCTGGACGACACCACAGTCAGCAGGAGGCCTCCAAGGGCCCTGGCATCCAACACACAGAAAAGGACTGGCCACCACCACGTGGCTGCCTCCCACCCTGCTCCTACAGGTGATCCTGGGAGGGGGCGTTCTTGAGACCCCAGCCCCTGCCCCAACTAGAAATCAGAGAGGAAGTTTCTTGCAACAACCACCTCCCAACACACTTTTCTCCTTATTCTGAGCAAAACACCTGAAGTGGGCAGGACAATTCCGTTTCTAAGATGGCTTCTCCAACATCTCCAGCTACTGCCCTATTACAAAGCTTGGTTTTAATATTAGCTAAAGGAAAAAGTATATCATTTCGGACTTACGTTTTATTAAATACTGTTATCGTTTAGCCTCAATAGATTTGTCTTTATAAAACTAAGTAACTTTCTTTCATAGTAAAAATAACCCCAAACCACCCATGCCTCCTCGGCAGCCCTTGAAATTCTGGACCTTGGAATGGTCTGGCTCCTGGCCACTGTCAATCTGCCTTCATCCACGGAGTGCCCCAGGGGGCCCCACCACACGGAGCTTTCTCTGCTTCCAAATTCCTGGGCTTAGGTACAGCCTTGGGTGAGTCAGACTGGCTGGATCCATCACCGCTGCTTGCAACAGCCAGGTTTACAGATTTGGGGGTCACACCTGTGTCAGAGCTGCACCTTGGGGCCTGGCCATCGTCCTCCCCTCCCACCTCCACCGTCAGGAATTGGGGGAGATACCCATCAGAGCCTTGACCAGTGGGGACATCCTCTTCTGAACCAGGCAGACCCTGGGGACAGTGGCTGGCCCTGTGCTGCACCCCTGGTAGACTTGTTTTCTGGATGTTGCTGTAGTGCTGTGGTCCTCAGCTCAACGCCCCCAGGAGCAGGAGTCTGAGTCCTTGGCCTTCCCTGGACTTGTGGGAGCAGCAGAAGGCAACAAGGACTGAGCGAGTGTCCCTTCAGTGGGTGAGTGGCCCCCAGAAGTGAGGAGGGGCAGCTCTGGTCCACCCTCCTGGTGCCATCCCCAGGTGTGGCCCCTTGCTGCTGCAGTGACCACACCTGGGGCTACTGTCACACCAGAGTGGTGTCCTGTTCTCCCCCTCCACCCACGAGCTCAGCCCAGGGTCCTCCAAGTAGCCTCTGTGGCTGGGGAGGGGGACCCCAACAACACAGGGCCAATGGCCAGCTCCAAGACAGGGGCCAAAGAACGGACCACGGCCAGTCTTGGATGAATCTAGATCTGAGGAGCAGGTGTGCTCTGTAAAATTAAGGCAAGTGGTCCAGGTGAAGGCCATCTGGGGTAGACCCTGGGGTCTCCCAGAGGACGGTTCTAGGGCCTTGGAATGCTCTAGGGAGGGACCCAATGCCACGTTCTCTGTGTGGAGTACCTGCCTCTACCTGGAGGAAGGTGCCCCTACTTGGAGGCCTCCCAAAGAAAAGGTGCTGAGGACCCATCCTACGGCCATTATGGGGGTTGGAGCATTTCTTTGTTTTTTTGTGGGGTTTTTTTGTCTTTTTTGAGACTAGCCGCACCATGCTCACACACGCTGAGCGCTGTGAGCACACTGGTCATCCCTATATAGGATCCGAACCCGCGGTGGGAGCGCTGCTGCACTCCCAGCGCTGCACTCTCCCGAGTGCGCCACAGGCTTGGCCCGGGGGTAGCATTTCTATGAGCACTTCTTTAAAGTCCTCATCCTACTGCAGACTCAGGGCAAAGGAGAGTTGCTGCAGATTGTGCCTTGAATAGAGCCCTTTACTGAGGCCTGGGAGGCCTAGCCACTCCCCCTGGCAGCGGGTGGGGGCACAGGGCCTGGCCCCCAAGGCCTCACCCCACCCACACGGTGCTCAGCGCACGGTGCACACATCCAGGATGCAGAAGCGGGCGCGGCAGGTGGGGCAGGGTACACGGCTAGCCAGCCAGGTGTCAGGGCGCTGGGGGTCCTGGCGGCTGGCGAACCACTTGCCCATGCAGGTGAGACACCACATGGGGCGGCAGTAGCACTGCTCGCACTCGCCTGCAGCCGCCTCCTGGCAGGTCTTCACCAGCTTCACGCTGGCACGTGTCTGCATGCAGCCAATGCACGCCTCCAGCTCCTGCGGGGCAGGTCAGAGGGGTCACGGAGAGTCTACTGGGGACCAGCCCATGGAGACCTGCCCACCCCCTTACTGCCCCAGCCCCCCACCTGGCTGCTGGGCACCGAGTAGGCCGGGTTAACCTCCACCAGGGAGGCGAACGTCTCCAGGAACAGGTCACCCAGGCTCTGGTGGATGACCACGTTGGCTGCACTGCGGATGGGTGCTCGGAGCTTCTCACAGAGCTCCCCGTACTCAGTGGAGTTCAGCCTGCAGGGAAGCATGGCAGAGGGGAGACTCAGCCCAGCTGCCCCACCAAGACTGGCCAGCAAAGATGGCCCCAAGGCCAGAGCCCACAGAGCTAGCACCACCCACCCTGGGGACTGGACAAGAGGACCTGGGAGCCAAGGCAGTTGCCAAGCCTTTGGTCCGTACTGTCCCCAGCATGCTCTCCGAGAAGGTGCGGAAGGAGCAGCACATGGGGAAGCCGACAGTACAAGGGGGACAGCAGGGGCCCTGAGGGAGGGTGACGCACAGGTGTCACTGGTCAGTGCCCTGCCTTCATATTGCCTGGTGTCACACAGGCCCCAGGAGCACTGGAGCTGGAGCCCACCACTCCCGGCATCTCCCATGGGCGCTAAGGCCAGAGCCTGGGTGCTGGCTGGGTGTGCACTCTCGCGTGCTCTAGGATACCACACGCTTACCGGATGTCAAAGGCCTGCACGGCGGGGCTGGCACTGGCAACGCGGATGGTGAGGAGCTGCACCGGCAGGTTCGAGTCTGGCGAGAGTTCATGCTGCCGCGACTCAGTCACAGTCAGATGCACGTCCTGCTGCTGGGCCACATGCACACGGTATGTGGTCACCTTCATCACCCACGTGTCTGTCACAATCACACGGGCACCCGGTGCCCCAGTGGCAAACTTATCAATCCGCCGGAACTCGGTGTTGATGGAGGTGGCGACGGCCCGCCAGCCTGACTGTGGGAGGGCGTAGAGTGCCAGAGTGCGAGCCAGTGGATGGCGGGCCCACCTGTCCCGGGACCAGTAGTAGATCAGGGTGCAGGCCACAGAGGGGAAGGTCACAGCCAGCAGAAGGAAGAGCTGCCAGGCCTCCGGGGCCTGGCTGGGGGAGTAGAGCTGCTTCTCTGAGGCCGCAAAGCACATGCCCACATAGTAGCCTGTAAAGACAAGGTGAGCCTCAGGGAGGCTGGAACTGCCACGCTCCTGTCGTTCTCCATGTGCCCATCCAAGGGCTACAGCACCATTCCTGTACATCAGGGGAGGGGAGGGGCCACTCCCTCTCTCATCCCCAGCCCTGGGCCTGGCCCTCTGCACTGGTCACCCTGGGGCCGAGTAAGCTTCCAGGGCAAGTGGGCCTCATCCACCCCTGCACCTCCTCAGCTGGCCTGGCTCAGCCCTCGCCCACGATACTGGCACGATTAGAGGAAAACGTTCTTAATTCACCATTTTAGTTTTATGCAAGTCAGACATAAGAATCAAAAGAAACCTACAAAAGCCTAGAAAGACAAAAATAAACACCATGATCTGACATCACCTTACGCACAGCTGACCCTTGGCCTGCCGAGAGCAGCTCCCTGGGCTGGATCTTGTCCTCTCCGTACTGCCCCCTCTGAGGAGGCAGAGCTGGGACACTGGGTGCAAGAAAGCAATCAAGTGCTCAAAGAATGCTGGTTTCCCATTGGTGACATGGGGCCTTGAGGTAACCACCTGGTCAGGAAGCCCAGCCTCAGAGCCCCACTTCCTTATCAGCTTCACAGTGCACTGGGTCCTGAGGCCCCATCTCTGTCTCCCCAGAGGTCTCCCGTTTGGTTCATCTCTCCAGCCACTGCCCGGTTCCACCCCAGCCCCGTCAGCCCATCATCCATCCAGCTGACAGACCAGCCGCCCACCTAGCACTCGGGTCCCTGCACAGCACTATCCTGGGCAATGTTTGGGCGCTTCCCGACCTCTGCATCTGTGGCGGCCCCAGCCTGAAATGCCATCCCGGCTCTCCGTGTGACAAGGCCTAGGGTTCGGACCCCTTCTCCAGCAGCCCCTCTGGCCCCCTCTGTTGAAATCAAGCAGCAAGAGCCCTCCTCCTGGCCGCTACCCCCGACCCGGCCAAGCACGGGCTGCCCGATCTTGCTCCTCCCAGCCACGGTCATGGCTGAGGATCCGAGCCCGGCAGGGCCAAAGCGGCCCCCGCAGCAGGCTCAGAACGTAGCTCCTGTCCCTTGCAGGCCGGCCGGCGGCGACGCTCACCAAGCGGCAGCAGCGCGTGGCACAGCAGCGTGGCGGCCGTGCGGCGCAGGTGGTAGGGCACGAAGGCGGCGTCCTCGCTGCCCAGCCAGCCCGACAGCAGGTTCTGCACCGTGAGCCCGGCCGAGTGGAACTCGTTGGGCGTGAACACGAAGCACACGGCGAAGACCAGATAGGCCAGCGTGAAGGTCACCTCTGGACTGTCCATCGCGCCGCAGCCGCCGAGCCGTCG